AATGGTCACTTAAAAATAACTGTACCAGACGATGCACCAATGAAATTTTAGCTTTATTTTCTGAATATAAGTTTAAAGTGCCTTTGGATTGTAGAACCTTGTTAAAAACAAAAAGAAGTATTTGGTCCAAAAATGTTGAAGGTGGGAATTATATATATCTTGGATTGAAAAAACAGATCACTAATCAAATAATTTGTCATTCAATTCTTGATGTCAACATTTCTTTAAGCTTTAATATAGATGGTTTACCACTGTACAAATCCAGCTCTACACAGCTGTGGCCTATTGTTGGACTCATTAAAGGTTACAATCCGTTTTTGATTGGAATGTATTGTGGATCAATTAAGCCTAAAAGTCATTTATTTTTAAAAGATTTTTCAGATGAGTTAAAAATAATAACAATCACTCCGTTTGTAGTTAATGACAAAAGTTACATGATTCAAATTTATGCTTTTATTTGTGATGCCCCTGCTCGCTCCTTGTTAAAAGGTATAGTTAATCATACCGGTTATCATTCTTGTGAACAATGTACTATTGTTGGAAGATATATATTAAATCGAATTGTTTTTTCTCATTTAGAAGGAAATGTAGATTTGCGTACAAATATCGAATTTCTTAACTATACATATGCTGACAGAGATCACAATGGAAGATGTCACCAACATGAGAAGTCTATATTCAGTGAAGTACATTCCCTTGATTTTATAAACATGTTTACTTTGGACTATATGCACCTTGTTTGTTTAGGAGCTACTCGGAGAATTCTATATTTTTTTAAGGGTGGGATTAAAGGAACCAATCATGGAAAAATTTCTTTAAACATGTTAGACCAAATTTCAAACAGTTTATTGCAGATAAATGGAAAATTGCCCAGTGATTTTGCTAGACAGTCTAGGTCTCTCTCTGATTTAGATAGATGGAAAGCAACAGAATTTCATTCTTTTTTACTATATTACGGCATAATAGTGTTAAAAGACATCATTGATTTACGTACATATAAACATTTCCTAAGTTTATCTATTTCAATACGGATTTTATGTAACAGTAATGCTGAGTTTCGAAACTCAAATATAGAGAATGCTCGTCGGCTGATTAAATATTTGGTTATAAACTCAACCGAAATATTTGGTCAACTATTTTGTGTTTATAACATACATAGTCTTCTGCATATATGTGATGATGTTGTGTTTTACAATGCTCCTCTTGACAGTTTATCTGCTTTTCCATTTGAAAATTTATTACAGCAGATTAAAAGATTAGTTCGATCTAAACATAATCCTATATCACAAATATGTAAAAGGTTTAATGAAACCAATCATGTTATTAAGTTTGAGCAAAAAAAATCTAAAATTAATACCAACTTAAAAGATGGTTGCTTCTTAACCAAACATGGTGTGGTTTTCATAAAAGTTGATTTAGGGAATGACCATTACTCGTGCTTTTATTATAGAAAAGATTGTATGGATAATTATTTTACACACTTTTTGAACTCAAAGGATGTAGATGTATATTTCTTAAGAAGTAATGTTCGACATGTTGTCAGGGTTAAACATAAAGATACTTTGGTTAACAAATGTGTTCGTTTACCAGTAAAAGATGGCTTTCTTATTAGTACACTGTTGCACAATTTATTCTAAGCTTAACTTTTTTATTATCTATTACTACTTTTAATGTTTAGTTCAATACATGAATTATACTAGAGTTGTATTAATTAATTAAAAGAATATATATATAAATTATTAATATTATTTTTATTATTGTTATAATTGTTTCCTGTTTTTTTGGTTTTTTGATATTTTTTCAATATTTTCAATTTTTTTATTCTTTATTATAACTATATGTTAAACTATAAGTATTTTCATATATCTTTGGTGGCAAATCTTATATATAAGTGTATAATATATATATATATATATATATATATATATATATATATATATATATATATATATATATATATATATATATTTATATATATATATATATTTATATATATATATATATTTATATATATATATATATATATATATATATATATATATATATATATATATATGTATATATATATATATATATATGTATATATATATATATATGTATATATATATATATATGTATATATATATATATATATATATATATTTATACATATATGTATATATATGTTTATACATATATATATGTATATATATATTTATACATATATATATATATATATATATATATTTATACATATATATATATACATATATATATATATATATATATATATATATATATATATATATATATATATATATTTATACATATATATATATATATATATTTTTACATATATATTATATATATATATATATATATAAATATACATATATATATATATATATACATATACATATATATATATATATATATATATATATATATATATATATATATATATATATATATATATATATATATATATATATATATATATATATATGTATATATATATATTTAAGGAACTGCTCTCAATTATGAATAATAAAGAAGAAAGAACAGTCACAAGAAAACGATCACAACCTAATACAAGGTAAGTTTGATGAGAAAACAGTTTTTGAATAAATATTTTGTTACAAATGTTACTTATAAAATGTTTATATTTTATTATATAAATAGGTCTGATTACTGATGCTGACATAAGAAAATCTATGTGGTCACTTTTTTATTATAAATTTGAGGAATCACTTTTTTATGTTTTTGATTTAAGCCCAATTAAAAGACTTTATTCTGTTGTGACAATCATTGAAGATGAAAAACAAAAGAAAATGACTGTACCTGTGGATTGGGTAGATGAACTCAAAAATGTTGTATATTGGCCTCCAAAGGACAAAAAACAAATAAACTACTATATTAGTAATTGGATTTCACCTGATAAAGGATGGAGAGAATATATATTATTAAAAATAAATCTTGACAAGGGAACAAAGGAGATGTGCGATGTTTGCATGAAGTTTGACTCAGAGTCTTCCAATTCTGATTTTCAGGAAACAGGTTTTTTAAAACTTAACACACACACTTTTAAACTTTAAAATATTTTTTAAAATTAATGTTGTCAGTTTTCTTTGTTCAGGTAATTTATTGCAAGTACCTGATTGAAATAATACAGTCTTGTTTATTTATTTTTTAATATCAATTTTAGAATGTAATAGTGCAACATACAGCAATCGTTTTCACATTAGAGAAAAAAGTCCTGACATTACAGTTGAAAAGGTTGCTGAATCGTCATTATTTTCTTCAAGATTATTTATTAAATCTCCTAGCAAACATCCTAAGATAGTATCTACTTAAAAATATCAAGAAGAGAATGTTTTGAATTTAGAAGAAGATTTAGATTTTTCAAATTTCTATCAAAGCAATACAGTTCAATCTAGTTTGTCATCTGTTTGTCAACATGATTCATTTTTGGAACCAGTTCAAAAAACTATTCCAAGAGGCATTGGTGGTACTTTTTTTTATGACGAACCACCAGCTAGCTTTAAACCGATGGATGAAAGGCGTATGTTTATAATTATTAACCTTTTATTCTTTGAAAGTTGTCACAGTATACACAATTTTTAATAAATCAACTGATGATTCTATTGAATTCGTATAAAATTTGTACTTAAAATAGTTCTAATCTATCTATACTAGGTTTTCAATATGCAATATTTATGGAGTTAGCAAGTATAAAATCTGAAATACAAAAATCTTTATGTGCAGTGGAAAAGCTGGGAAGAAGGACTGAGCCTGAAGATTCCTTATTTTATATTTATAAATCAAATGATATAAGAGAGTTTGATGAAAGAGAAATATTTTTAGATAATAAAGAAAAGTTTCATTTGTTGGTATGTTTTTTGTTTATATTAATATATAGTGTTATTCTAAATAAATCTGATTGAATGATATTGTTAATTTTATGTCAATTTAAAAATTAGCATTGATAATGATATTCTATAAATTTTGTAGGTCCTTCAACTTAAACAAATAGGTGGTAGTTCAATTTCAGCCTCAGTTAATAAAGTTTTAGATGAAACAATGTCTAAAAATGTTCAATCGTTATTTAACAAAGCAGGAAGACATGGCAAAAGATCATTTAGAAAAACATTATTGTATAAAGCAATTATTGGTAATTTTTAAATATTGATATAAAATGTTTTTTGTGGAAGTGTGTTTATGTAATCCTCTTTGTATGTGCTTTAAAATGCATGAAAGATTTCTATGGTATTTTATATTTTAGAAGCATTAGTGTCACAATCAACAAAATTTGATTTGGTCGATAAGTTAATAGGCGACCATTTGAAAAGAGCTCCAGATCGAATTGAATAACAAATAATTTATTTAGTATTTGTACGCTCGCATTATAAATGAATACAAAACAAATAAAAAAAACTTTAAAAGTCTAAGTGATGCATCTAAATTACTATTTATTAACTCTCTATTATGCACTGTTGCCATTAGGCTACAAAGCAAAATTTTTCTTATTTCAGCATTACTAGCTTTACTTTTGATTTTAAAGAGTGATTTCCCTTGTCTAGTTTGATGTTTTAAAAACAATACAGTTTTTTTAAATCAGCACATGTTCAGCCAACTACAGCAGTTTTTTCCAAAAAAAAATGGCATTATAGAGGGTTAAGAACTTTTTATTTGTATAACAAATGTTATTTACTTAACTTATACATATAATTTTTTTTTTTTACAAAAAAAGTATACTATATATATATATGTATATATATATATATATATATATATATATATATATATATATATATATATATATATATATATATATATATATATATATATATTGTATTTATATATTGTATATAATTTTTTTTTTTTTAATTTACTAAAAAAGTAAAACTAATGTTCTTAAGTATGAGTAACAAAAAAAAATGAAAACAAGGTATGTTTGAGTTGAAAATATTTTGTAAATAAATCTTTTGAAGCTATTTCTATCTAGATTATTTCTGCTCCAGCTACCAATCACTCTACTTTATTTATACAAGTAGAATTTCTACTAAAAATAACTTGTTCTCCTCAGGATCTTTATTGGGTAATTTGTACATAATAATATTAAGCAATATTTTTTTTTCAGCTTAAACGGAATAGTTTATTTAGTTGTAACAATCATTGATTATAAAAAATTTTGGAAAATGACTGCAAATTAGGTAAGTACAAAAATATTGATAAAGAGTTATTAGAAACTTATTAAGAATGGTGAGAAGATATATTGACGAAACTATATCTTGACTAAAGTAAAGAAGAGATGTGTAATGCATGCATAAAGTTTGATTCAAAACTTTAGAGTCTTCGAGTTTGAAATTTCAAGAAACAGGTTTTTTTTATATTTAGTTCACATATATGCAAACCTTTTGAAAAGTTTTTTAATTGGTGTTGTATCTTGTTATAAGTTAAATACTTCAATGTAAGTCTATATAGAAGATTAAAGGGTGCAGTTATTTGTACTTGTTTTTTAGCATTAATTTTTAAATGAAACAGTACAACATCACAATTCTTTGCAAGAGAACCAAGTCTTGATATTAAAGTGCAAAAGGTTGCGGAATGTAAGTTTTTCAAAGAGTGTTATCTGGTTTAATTAAAAGTTTAGTTTAGAATAAAACCAGATAAATATTTTTCATCAAGTTAGAAAATATGTTAGTATTTCCAACACGTTAATAAATAATATATGGAACTTTTTTTCATCAAGTTAAAAAAGACTTACCAAGAAGCATTACTGGAATTTATTGTTATGATGAACTGTCATCAAGTTTTAAGCCTATGGGTGGAACATGTATGTAAATAAATGTTGACTTTTTATTTTCGAAAAGATGTACTAGTTGGAATCCAAGTTGGAATATGTACTAGATTTCTATAGTATTTTGCTTTTTAGAAACATTAGTGTCGCATGCATCAAAGTTCGATTTGGTCGATAAGTAGAAGATCATTTGAAGAGAGCTCTTAATAGAGTATCATAACAATTATTTTATTACATTTTTGTATGTTTATATTGTAAATGTTTTATTTTTTATTTTTGTATGCTTATATTATAAATAAACAGAAAATTAAACTTTTAGAAATTTATTAAATTATCCAGACCTAGGCTGTTACACCTAAATTTTTATTTGTAGAAGATTTTTTTTCTGTATAACATAAGTTATTTACTTAAATAACTTAAACATAGAAAAGATTTTTAGGGCAATTGTTGAAAACGTCAAATCGCTTCATTTAGACATAATAAAAACCAATAAAAAAACGTTTTCGTGAGGCCCTTAAAAAACGTTCAAAAAACGTTTTTAGAAAAACGTCCGGTCACCGCTTCATATGGACGTTTAAAAAACCAATAAAAAACGTTTTTCCGGGACCATTAAAAAACGTTCATAAAACGTTTTTAGGAAAACGTCCGGTCACCGTTTCATATGGACCTTTAAAAAACCATTAAAAAACGTTTTTCCGGGACCATTAAAAACGTTCATAAAACGTTTTTAGGAAAACGTCCGGTCACCGTTTCATATGGACCTTTAAAAAGCCATTAAAAAACGTTTTTACGGGACCATTAAAAAACGTTTGCAAAACGTTCTTGTGCCCACTGGGATTCTGCTTAAAGAAGGATTTGCCAATGAAAAGCTCTTAACTGGTTGATTTATTGAAGGTAGTAAACCTGTCGATCCAACAAAAAAGTTATCTGATATCATATTTCATTATTAGTTATAATACATTATAACTTAAGATATATTTTTATTTATAATTTGTAAAACTTTTCTTCTTGATTCTTTGTTATAAACATCATCATCGGAAGAAAATATTTCAAATAGAAAAAGATTTATACTTCTTCGAGAAGTTCCAGAACCAAATATGCAACAATTAAGACAAGGCATTTGCAAAAATCAAGGATAAATCGATAATCTTCTTGTAAATATTCTTCTTGTTTACAAAAAGTGTGCACTCATTGGTAGACTGGGTTCTAAAAATAAGCTAACAATAAGATAAACAATAGCGCTCTTAAACTGGCCGGACTATGTATGACTATGATAAAACCAGTTCAGTCCCGTTTTTGACGACGGACTGCAAAATTGGCACTCGTAACCGTACTTAATTGTCGATTTAATATCAAAACCCTTATTATTATTGTGTTACGAATTATAGAAAACAACATGTTCTGATGCAAGTAAATACACGAGGAGGTTTTATACTACTTCTTACATTACTTAATAGCTTTATAATGCATGGTAAATTTTATTTTTAATAATGTTAAAAAAAAATTGAAATTTGTTAATTTTTGTAGTGATCAAAAGTAGAGGATAGTTGTAAAAGTATACTAATACTAGTACGTAACGTTTTTCCTTTCGTCCCGTAGTAATAAAAATGCTTTTTTGACGATAAATAAATTACATAAATCAAATATAAAAGATTTCCGAAGATTAACATGTTACCAAGGTGTCTTGTTGTGTTTCTTTGTATTGGTAAACAAAATTTTAAACACTGTAGAAGAAGATTGTTTGCTTACTCCGTTATGAGTAGAAAAGTGGTCAAAGTATCACCGAGCGACATAAAAAGTGGGAAAGCTTCCATTCAGATAATATCTCCATTGGGTGCAAGTTGTATTGGTATAAGTTTTTATGTTGAATGTTTTCTAAAAACAAAAAGAAATAGAATTTATGTGAATGGTTGTTTGTAATAAAACTAAAGTAGTTAAGTTAATTAAATTATTTTATGCAACTAAAATTAAATTTTTATGTTTTAGTTTATTGATTACAACAATGATTATAAATAATTAATTGAAATAATTTGTGGAAATGTATTTCAGGCACTCCCTTTTTTAAGTTCGTAAGAAGCGAGTCCTAGATTTTATGTAAAACAAGTATCATTAATAACCATACCAACCATAAAGTTTTTCTTTATTGCTAACTGTGCTCTAACCAAACACTTATGGAGAAGGGTTTGGTTGGGTATGGATTTCATTATATTCATTTCACATAAGTCTTTTTTAATGACTTATTAAAAGGAGAGAAATATAAATATGATATGATGACATCATTGACAAATAGTCAATGATGTCATCAATTACATTTCAACCCAACTAAACTGTGATAAGTTTTGTGCATATATATTTCAGGAAATTTGTACAAGTATATGTGTGTATGCACTTACACACACAGATTCAAGTACTTATATTTTCAAAAACACAAATACTAACACATGGCTTCACACACATGCATTCCTATTAAGGATTAGGGTTCAGACTGGCAATTATGTTTGTCTTTAAAATGTACATTTTAAAGACAAACATAATTGCAAAAAAAATTAAAAGTTTCTAAATTTTTTTTTGTTCTATATATATATATTTTTAAATCAACAGGTATTTAAATCCTGAGGTAAAATGTCCGAGTATTAAACCAAAAGAATTTTCAAAAAGTATATTTTGACAATTTTTATTAAGTTTCAAGACGTAATATTTCAAATTTATTGTCTCTACAAGATTTTGGAAAGATCTCTTAGTCATATGGTCTTGGAAAGATCTCTTAGTCATAGGTTAACAACACCCAGCAGAATTTTATGGGTATCTGCATGTTATTATCATGTTCATATTGTTTATTTTACATAGAAAAAAGCATTTAATGCTACATTTTATGAGTGCTTTCACAGAAAAAATTCCTTTGTGCAGAATTAATATCAAAATGGAAATATTGTGTGATATGCATTTAATAATGTTCAACGGAAATTATTTTATAATGTCCAAAAAAAATTATATGGCAATCATTACAATCTTATCTGACAGAGATAATTGAAGTTATCTGACAAATTAAAGAGTATATCCAGTATTAGAGTGTTTCTGTTACCCTGGAAAATTTTATGTTAGTGGTTTAAAAAAAACACATAAAAGAAACAATTTTTCAGAAAATTCTGAAATGTAGAGAATCCTATGGATAATCATAGTACTATTTGATCATTTAGAGTGCCAAATGGGTAATTCCATGTAAAAGTGGGACAGAAATTTGAAATTTTGCAGTTATCTCTCAGATATCTTTCAAATTTTAACCAGTGGTACCGACCAATAAAACATGAAAAAATGTAAAGTTTAATAATTCAGAATGTCCAAATATTAAATTTTAAAATTTGTTAACACTGCTGTCTTATGGATATATATATATATATATATATATATATATATATATATATATATATATATATATATATATATATATATATATATATATATATATATATGTATATATATATATGTATATATATATATATATATATATATATATATATATATATATATATATATATATATATATATATACATATATATATATATATATATATATATATATATATATATATATATATATATATATATATATATATATATATATATATATATATATATACAATTTACTTTATATTGATTGCTCAGTTAGCATCTGATATGATTGCTTTTATCTATTCCGTTTTCTTACTCCTACTTTTAATTTTTCCATCTTTTAATCTTTTATCCTTTAATTAGCTATTTTAGGCTATCATGACTGCTACTACCATGATCTCAAGTGAGCTATTTTTTTGTGTTCAACCATCAAAAGGCCTGAGTGACTTATCATTTAGTAAAGTTGCATCCTTTTATTGTAACTGTTTCTTCATGCTCAGAAAACTTTTATTAATAAATTTTTTTTCCCTGAGCATCAGATAAATTCATTTTCAATGAGGTTGCTTGCAACTTCATTGAAAGTGAATCAATCAAGTTCACCAATCAAGTTGAAAGTAATGAGAAGAAGAAAAAGAAAGTTTAAGGGAAAGCCATTAATGAAACACTTAACATAAAGCACAGTTAGGAAAAGATATAAATGGGAGAGAATTCCAAAACATGTTGGAAATAAAAAACCAGATAAAAAACCAGTTTTTTTGATCATGAAGAAACAGTTATAATAAATGGATTTGACTTTGCTGAATTACAAGTCAAGCAAAATTGAGTTTTGGTTTATGAGACTAGTGATAATTAGCTTACTTAAGCAGCAATTATGGTACTATTCAGGGCCGGCGACACCAGGCCATGGGGTTCATGCCCCCCCCCCTACTTTTTTTCTAAAGGACTTTTTTTTTCACAAATTGATGATTGTGCCCCCCACCCCCACTTTAAAACCTGTGTCGTTGGCCCTGCTATTTGTTGAAAAGAGAAAGAGATACAACCTTACAACAATAGAATTCTATGGTGCTCAAGCTTTCGAGCCCATTTGAAAGCAACATTTGGGATAAAATTAGAAGAACCAGCCTTAATATGACAGCATTATTTCATGCAAGGACAAAAACAGATTTATAGAGGTAAAGAATGAAATCAGGAGCTAAGAGATGGTGAGCACAATAAAAAAAAGGCAGATAATCCAAAAGATTTTCCTCAAGTCTCCTAATAATCCCAAATTTCTTAATTATTTCATAACATCTCCTGAGATAATATGAAGTTTAGTAATCTGAGATTAATGGAGATTTCTCCATTCTTTATTTAAACCTCATAATTTACTAAATCTTTAATCTTTAAGTGGCACAAACTTTTATAAATTACTTTAATTAGGATAACTCAAATTACAATGTATACTTATAGTTTTGTTTGTTATCTTTTTTTTTCATGTGTCAAAGTTTTAGGATTGAGAAAAGACTTCAACAACAATTTAAAAAAATAATAATAAATGAGCAGCCTCTTGATTGTAGTAACTCCCTGAAGGGAAGTGAATATTTAGAGTAATCTAAACTCAATTTTTATGACAGAAACGGATTCCCTTCCCCCAAAATTTTATATTTTGGTTTGAAATATGACAATATTACTATGTCTTTTATTTTTTGTAACTTTTGTTGTATTTTAGCCGACTGTGCAACTTTTTAGGAATCAATTTGATGCACGCAACAGTCAATTTGTCATGCTCATCAATTTGTTTTTTTTTATAAGAAATTCATAGATTACATTTTTGCAAGCTTGCCTTCTAAAACCAAGAACCTCAAATTACATAACTGAAAATGTTCAAATATTAAATTTATTTGCAAACATGAACAAATGCAAAAATTTAATATAATTTTAGTAAATAATTAAAAAAACAAATTTTTTGATTTTTTTTAATATGTAAATGCTGCCAAGTCTAAACTCTCAATAAATGTATAAATTCCACTCCTATGATACTATTCATAGGAGTGGAATTTATAAAAGAACAAAAACACCAATGATGTCATCATTGGTGTTTTTGTTCTTTTCAACTTTTCCAGGAAACTGTAAAAAGTCAACCATTGATATTAGGGTTATTTTTAAGGCCAAAGATAAGGTTCTCAAAGCCAAGGCTATATTATTGGTATCATTTTATATCATTTTAATTTAGTATAAATAAATCATGATATGAAATATCATAAACAATAGTTTGTTTGCAATATGGAATATAATAAACCATATTTGCAATATGAAATTCACAGTTAATAAGTTAATTGCCCTGGGTAGTTACTAGGAGGCAGTTTGAGTTTTCACATTATAAATTGAATAAATGTTAAATAAATGAATAAATATCTACATTTTTATTAATTTTTCTATCACTTTTCAGAACATTGTGAAGCCTGTGGAATTGCAATAATATTTTTTGTATTAGTTTTTTAAACATTTTATGGTTCAAACAATTGTTGAGAAGGTTTGCAACGATAACAGCATTAATATATTTGCCATATATATAAAGTACAAATATTTTGAAAAAAGCAAATATTTTGACTTTAACAAAAATAATTTTTACTTAGTGATATTTTCAAATTAAAATAAAATGTTTTTTAATTTTTTTTTAATTGCAAGGACATTGCTCATCATCATTAAATGAGGATTTCCCTGTAAAACTGACAACTGAACAATTAAAAGCTAAGCTGACTCCTGAACAATATGCTGTCACGCAAAAGTCAGGAACAGAACGGTAAAATATTAGAATTAAAATTAACTTTTAGTCAAACAAAAATTGAATTATTGATTTTTAAAATTAGGATGATGAAAAATTGTTTTGGAATTTAATGTTAATATTTTTATAAAGAAGTTTTAAATATTTGATAAATAATGGTATTAACTAAAAAACTTTGTTAATACCATTAACAAAGTTTTTTAGTTAATATCATTATCAAATAATGGTATTAACTAAAACACACACACACACACACACACAAACACTAAAATATGCATTGATAAAAACAAAATGTACAATTAAAAAATGTTGCATGAATATCACACTATGAAGCTAAGAATAGCTCGCATATAGCAGACATGATAAGCCTGTAGCCACAAAAAAAAATCAATAAAAGTTCATTTACATATTCTATTTAAGTACTTTATGTACTTAAAGTGAAACAGGCAACTTAATTTCACAATATATTTTGCAGTCTAAAAAAGACTGGTATGGGTAAAGAAATAGAGTATGCATCTTTTTAGGTGCAAATTTTCATAAGAGCTGAAAGTTGCGGTGATCAACGATTTATTATTAATTACTAAAATATCCATTATTTTTTAATAATAAATATCCATAATAATAATAATAATAAATATCCATAATATTTTTTGTAAGAATCAAGAAATTACAGGACAATAAAGGTCCGAGACCAAGACCAATATTTCAAGTTTTCAAGACCAAGTCAAAGACTCCAAGACCAAGACATTTGAATATGAGTCTTGATATGTCTCTAGACCAAGACTTTAGTCTCAAGACCTATATCTCTGGTTTTTAATTTAACAGTAATTGTAATGAGTTTATACATTAAATATTTATAACATTTATTTTGTATACAAATAGCATTTGTTAACTCAGTATAATTAACAAAAAAAAAGTAAATAAATGCTCAAATATTACTTTACCAAAAAGTAAATATGTACTCAAATAAAAATAATTTTTAAATATTACTGTTGTTGCAGTATTATTATAAGCAGTATTATAACTGCTTTTATAACAGGAATACTCATTACTGTAGTTTGTATTATACATTAACAACTCTAGTTAAATTAAATTGTAAATTGTATTATACATTAACAACTCTAGTTAAACTTGGTCGAATTCATTTGAATTTTATCTCAGTTTCGAATTTTCGAATTTGCATTCTCAAATTCAAAATGGTCAACATTAATCAAATTCATAATTCAAATTTAAATTAATCAAATTTTTTCAAATTCTAATTTGTATTTTTTAAATTAATATTGAAAATCTTCAAATTTTTTTATTTTATTTAAGTACACTACCCAGGTACAGGCACGACTGTAGAGAGAGGGGGTGGTCAGCGTACATTGCTCTGTGACCTGTAAGAAAAAGGACCTTTAAAAAAAAGAAGGAGCAAAAGAAAAGAAAAAAAATTCTAAAAAAAATTTCATTAAATAGTGCATATTTCTAACTAAGGGACCATCCATAAAGGACGTCATCATTTTTTAGGCAATTTTTGACCCATTCTCCCCCTTCCCTTTATCACCGGTTGTCCTTTTTCCCTATACTCCCTTGTAAAGGACATCATAAAATCTTGACCCCCTCCTCCTATTTTAACAAAAAAAATTTTTTTGATCTCATATTATCTTCATAATAACACATGTTTACATAATTTTCCATGTTGATAAAACTTAAGTAAAAAATCTATAAAATAACGTCCTTTTCTGACAACCTTCCCCCTCTCCCTTGTCCTTTTTGTCTTGACCCCTCTCACCTTTCCTTTTTGGAAGATGTTCTTTATGGATGGCCTCTAGGTAGATGTCGCAGTTAAATTTTCCCTGGGGTCTGAGTTGGCTGTCTGCGGCACTGGGTATAGGGCAAGGGTGGGTTTTATAACTCATCAGGAGTGGCGGTGAAGGTCTAACTGAGGAGTAACTAAATAAGTGCAAATTTTATAACTGCAATTCTACATAAGGGCGAAGCACTTGCAAACACTGCCATAAATGCACCAAAGGTATTTAAAAATACTGGCTTAAGTGGGAATCAATTGCAAAAATAAGCATAAGTGCAATTCGACATATGTGTGAAACGGAATAAGTGCGCCAAAAGAATTTGTAAACACTGAAATAAGTGTTTAACTTCCTTTAAAATTGAACTACTGAAGAAGGGTGAATGTAAAATAGGTTTCAAAGACTGGAAAAAAATTAGTTAATATGTTTATTATCTTTACAAGCAAAAATATAATTTAAAGGCTATACCCCACTATATATTATTGGTGGTCATTCTATCGCAACTATCTCTTTAAACAATAAATGTTTGAGACCAGGCATTTATGAAATAACGAATGAGAAAATAATACTATACTTTATTCCTGATTTTAAACAATATTTTTACATACAAACTTGACAAAAGGAACAAAAAGGAACATTTTCCACATTTTAATATAAATCAATCACTTTCAATGCATTGTAAGCTAATAGTTGATGGATTTCCATCTCTGTTGCTTGAAGAGGCTCCAGCTCATATGCTTGAAAAATTTTTAGGTTGGCTGGTTGAAGAAGAATCAGCCTTGGGTTGAAGACTGACATCTAACTTTCTTTTATGTCCTTTACCCTTTTCCTTACTAAAATTAATTTTGGCTGAACCTTCAACCAATACTTCAGTTGTTTCATCCTGAAGATGTTCCTCTTCAGCATCCTCCTCTCTTTCATCCTTGTAAAACCTTGCGGAGATATTAACCTTTAGCAAGTTTTCTTTACAGTAAACTAGCATGTGGACATTCTCAACATCAAGATTTGTCCTTCTGTAGGTCACCTACAGAAGGCTGAGAAGACTCGCTCAGAGCTAGCAGACAATATCTGAAAAATAAAATGAATTTAATAGTGTCAAATGTTCAAAAAATTAAGTAAAATAGACTGTGAAAAACTTACTGAATTCAGTTATTTGAACTTAGGAAATTGGCGTGCCCCTACCCTTTCTAAAAAATTAAACCTTAAACAAAGCTTATTTTATTCATAAAAAATTATATCTTCAAAATAGTTTTTTTTACCTGAATACAAAGGTATTTTCTGACATACTTGGCAATAAGAGGATACTCCTGATGATGCCTTTTCCACCAGTGTAGTACATTAACATCAGCTGGAGGAGGGTCGGTTAAGTTGAGGTACCTGTTCATTTCCAACTGCATAGGGCTAATAGCTGCCTCAAACAGTGACTGGGTGGGCTGGCTAGACTGAGAAGACCTCATTTTAGTCCTAAAAACAAAAAGATTATAAAAAAAAGAAATATTTTTAAACCTGAAAATATTTGAATTTTAAATTTAAATTCCAAAAACCAGGGAAATGATTGACTATCAGCTCAATCATTTCCCAGTAATTTGAACTTAAATGTTGGCCAAGTGTGAGTCCTTTGTAAAATGGGTGGAGAATTGTTCCATAAGCATAGAGCTTGTTTTTGGTCCCACAAACCGGGAATTTTTTTTCCAACTTTGACTGTATGGTTTTGCAGAATACTTTGGTCTCCTCATTGATTTTTGGTTTGTTGAATTGAGAATTTAGGTAGCCATCAATATTAAAAATTTTTGACACCATATAGCAAATGGTTGGTTTTTGGTCAGAAGAAAAAAGACATCTCTTTAATCTTGGTGAGTGGACCAATGATGGCAACAATCTGTAAAAAAATTATTACAATTATTGACAATTATTTTTTAAATTTTTATCTGAACCAGGCCCCTACTTCTCTTAAAAATGGCCTAGGCAATTTAAAATTTTCAATGCCTTTAGTAGAAAAAAGTTCTCCTTACCCCCTGAAATAGGACTTGATATTCCATAATTAAATATTCAAAGCAATTTAAAAAACAAAAAAAATGAAAACAAATTCAAATAATTTGGAAAGAAATCTAACTCATTCACCGGTTCAAATTCTTTTGATGTAGGAATTTTTTTCTTAACTTGGGATCAGTTCCCTTGCTGAAGTCCTCTCTGATCCTCTCTAGAGCTGGTCTTAACTTTAGAATAGATTGCATCATCATCAAGCTGGAATTCCAGCGGGTTTCAACAGGTACAATGATCTTGACAAATTCAACTATAAGAAATATTGATAAAATAAATCAAACTAAGTTATACAAAATGCAACTTGATTTAAACCGTGAAATTAGTTGTCTTACACTATACAATATATGATAATATCAATGATTGATTAAAGGGGAGAAGGCAACAGGGGTGCAAGACCCCGAGTCCTGCATAATTAGGGGCCCAAACCTTTTAAGTGGAGTTTTTTTTAAAAAAAGACCTTTTAAGAAATAGCTCCCAGCCAACTACAAAGGTTTTATTCCGACATGTAATAACCAAATTTGTATATAATAACTAAACATAAACATAAATAAATGATATATAATATAAAATATACAGGGCTGGCTCAGACCTTATGCGAGCAATGCGGCTATGTGAGGTCTCGCGCCAAAAGGGCCTCACATTGCTCTGTGAAGCTAGATAAAGAGCTATATATCTCTAGCTTTCTAAAAAGGCCCTGCAGGACCCCATTAGGTGGAATTTTTTTTAAAGTTTTCTATAGAAGATTTAATAATCAAAATAAAAATAATAATGTGCATAATATATGATTTTTGTGAAAAACATATTACAACATGTATTTTTGTTCAATATAATAAACTAGTGACACTCTTGAGTATTTATATATTATATATTATATTTTATTTATATATGTTTAAATATTTTATATTTAAAAGACAATTATATAAAAACACAATTTTTCCCTCGTACATTAGTACTCTTAAACCCCTTCCTTTTTTTTAGGTTTTCATTGAAGGCCTCACAAACTAAACTCGCGTCAGGCCTCACACTTACTCAAGCCGGCACTGAATATATACTTATAATAAATGTATAATCCAAACTTAAAAATAAAAGTTTAAAGAAATGAATTACAAGTTTCAATGTTTGAATCCTCCTTACACTGATTGTTTACACTGATTGTTTACTTCAGGGATGTTGAGATACTCATTAACCACAAGGTTAAGTATATGGTCAACACCTATACTTAACCTTGTGGTTAATGAGTATCTACCAAGGCCTTCCTGAATTTCCTCTGTTAGCTTTATGGCTGCTAACATATTAGCTGCATTATCACTTGTGCATGTCTTGTGGACATTTGATGGAAGGCCTACAATCTCAATAATTGTCTTTTCAAGAAGTTCAGCAATGTTTTGAGATGTATGTGAAGATGTGTTAAATGATTTACTTTGATGAAGACAAATCAGTTGTGAAAGCCACTCCAATGGTATTGTCTTTTAGATCTGTTACAATCTTGTTTGTCACTGCCTCCTTGACCAAACGGTTAAATAGAGGAGGTTTTGCTCTAACCATAGTTCTGGCAGACTTCACGTGGAACTTTGGATCCAAGTAGTTGACAAAGTTGAAATGCTGCCTTGTTGATATGGTTGAAGGCAAGATTACTGTCTGTTAAGTACTTTATCACAGCCAAATCAAACTTCAGCTGAACCGGTGACCTTACATTGTGTTTGACAACCCTCTGAAATATGGTGGTGTGGTTGTGACAAATGAAGCCTTACCACCAATTGGAGACTTCAGAAATAGTTTCTTTCTAGTTTGCTTTTTGTTGGGGTAAACAATGCCTAAGTTAATTAATTTAATGATATAAAATGGGTATATTAAATAATTAAATTTAATAACAATATTAAGAATGAAAAATAAAAGTCATTTTATTTTAAATTATAAAATTTGGTGAAAATTGCTATTTTAAAATCGAATTTAGTCAAAATAAAATTCTTATTTTGTAAAGCATCAACTTCAGTTCCGGAATCAGAGAGAGTTGAATCTGAGAGGACAGATTGGTCTTTTTTCTTTTTAGAAGTTTTCTTCTCAACTTGTTTGTATAATTTATCAAACTTATTATCATCCGTCTTTTTTGATTCCATTCTGCCTCAAATGTAACTACTGCTCTGGCCTGTTCCAAATGAACAGGCCAGAGCAGTAGTTACATTTGAGGCAGAATGGAATCAAAAAAGACGGATGATAATAAGTTTGATAAATTATATCGAAAAATTCGATGGAAAATAATCTGTTTTAAAATTACATTTGATTGGCAAGCTTTGAAAAACTATTTCGAACGCTGATGATATATGATATAAATATGAATAAGTAATATAATAATAGTGCTAGCTGAACTTTTGCTAGCTGATTACCAGCTTTTGTAGCTAGTATTCCTCATGGCCAAATTGCTGTCTTTCTCGATAAAAGTATCCCTGGCTAGTTGCTAGTTGATCTACCAATAGGAATTATCTACTCTTAAAGTAAATAACATTTATTAATAATAATAATAATGATAAGAAAGTGCTGAAACAGGAGCAGATACTCCTGTGGAACCTAACTTGTCAGGTTCTGCAGGTTGTCAGGTTCTGTATTTAAGTCTAAATGTTTTATTAAATATTTCTTAAGAGTTAAATTTTAAAGTCATTTTCTTTGTCTATTAAACATTTGATATAATTTAAGTTCTGTGCACTGATTGTAACAGAGTTTAAGTTATTTCAAATAATTGCAATGTGGTTTGTTAAGAAATTGTATTTTGGTAGTTATTTACCAGCTCTGATTTCAGTTTACAATTGTACTTTTTTTTAATGTTCTATTATTAAATAATGCTATTTGTTGGTCAAAGTTGTACCATTTCAATATATTTATTTTATAAATTACTTTATATATTTGAATTGCATAAATTTATGTCATTCCTTTACATTAAGAATATAAAGGTACATTGCATAATACCAATAGCTCTATTTGCTTTATGGCATGAATAATTAATTTGTTCCTCTCCATTTCAAATCGTTAGACATATCACAAGATAATGCCCAAGTCTTTTTCACAGTAACTTGATGCAATAAAGTGGACTGAATCTTCTTTTGTTGTTATGATGTAGTTGAAATCATTATTGTTTTTGTCAATATGCATCACTTTACATTTTGAGTAATTTAATTCCATAAAGGTTTGCAATATTTATCTCCTTACATTTTGCATAATTTAATTTCATAAAGTATTAATTACACTACTGAACCACCAGAATAACATCATTATGAAAAGTGTAATAATCATTAAAATTTTTTATTTCAGTAGTATCATTAGCATATGATTCTTATGATACAATATGATACAATATTTACATATGATACAATATTTACTTTGGTTTTGTAGTATTTTGCATAAGTCATTAATAAAAATTACGAATGATAATGGTCTTAAGACACTTCCTTGTGGTACTCCACTAATCACATTTGTCCAAAACGATGCATATTGACACATAACCACTATTTGTTTCCTGAAACTCAAAAATTAGATTTATTTATTTTTTCTTTTCTTTTAATAGCACAGTTAAGGATAAATAATCATAATAATAATAATAATAATAATAAAATGATAATAATAGTTTATTTATGCATTAAGATAAATAACTAATAATAGTAAAAACCAGTATCAAAAAAGAAAAAGGTATATAAAAAGGATTTATCCAATTGAGGATTTAAAAAATTTGGTAAAAATATAGTTTTAATTTTTTAATTTAGTGGTTGTTTATTTATTATTTAGCTAATTGTTTCTCTTTTTAATAAATTAAAAATTTATTCAAAATTAATTGTTATAGGCTATAATTATTGTTTAGTCTTATAATTTTATATAAGCTTTGTTAGCTTCTCTTGACCTTGACTAATTTTTTACTTTTTTTATTGTTGAAAGCTTTCAGGTGAAAAGTACCTGCATTATATATTTACATTTTCATTAATATTATTTTTGATTGAAAGACAATTGAAAAGAGCTAAGTTATTGAATTCTGATTGAGCTGAATAGCCAATTAATAATATATTGGAATAAATAAATAATTGTAGCCAAAAATATTGTTGCCAAGCTACCATATTTTTTAAAAATTCATTCTTATTATGCAACTATACTAATACCTAAATTTTTCATCAAGAGTAAAGTAAATAAGGTACCCCATTAAGTGAGAATTGATGATGATGATGATGATGATGATGATGATCAAACTTCTTTTTTTATAGAGCATTTACAGGTAAATACTGGGATAATCACAGAAAAGGAATTTATAAATGTGTTGTTTGCGATGAAAATTTGTTTAACTCTGATACTAAATTTGATAGTGGAACAGGCTGGCCTTCTTTTTATGATGTATTAGAAAAAGGAAAAGTAAAATTAATTACTGATAACACTATGTTTATGACAAGAGTTGAAGTTTTATGTGCTCAGGTATTTTTAAATATTTGTCCTATTTATTTGGTTTTTAAAATTTTAACTACTTTGTTTAAAATAACGGCATACTATATTTACAAGACGTAGTTAATGAACTTATGCATGTTTCATTGTTCTCTAAATTATCTTATGTTCCATTGCCTCCATGGTTTTGAAATATTGGCTGTGTAAAAAAAAAAATGTGTACTGATTGAAGTTTTCTTATGATATTCCCTTATTCTTCAATATACATCAACGCAGACGTTATGACGCAGACGTAATGACCTTCATGATTGTACATCTTCTCAAAAACATGCAAAACAGTTTTCTAAATTCTAAATGTTTTATATTCCCTGCTTTTCATTTTGATCAGTTTCCTAATCCTATTGATGTACTTGCGTTACTCGTCATTCAATTAAGTCTCATTCTTTTTCTGTGACTGTTTCTTAGTGCTCTAAAAACTCTTATTCATCTAGTTTTTTTTCCTCGAACATCAGTTCTTTGGAATTCGCTTCCTGCATCTTGCTTTCCTGATTCATATAATTTGCAATCTTTTAAGTCATCTGCCAATCATTATCTTCCTCTACAAACTTCATCTTTTCTCTTCCAGTAACTTCCAACTCTTATAGTGGTTGCTTGCGGCCTTGTTGGAAGCAAAAATTAAAAAAAAAAAAATGTACATGCTGATGAAATATCATGGAAGTTACTTTGTAACCTATATGATAAAGATCAATTACTTCAGTCAAATTTAAAAAAAGGTTTCAAATTATCTTATAAATTACATCATCCTGGATATAATAAACAAAGTGTGCCACTTGATCTTGCAATATTTGATCCTATAACTTCTGCAGCTATTAAAAATTATTTTTCAAATAGGATAGATGCCTCAAGGTTTTTAAAGTTGATAAATATATGGTGGGCAATAAGTAACAGTAAGCAAAAATACAATAACAGTTTTTGTATTGGAAATGCAGCTGTGTTTTGTGACATGAAACTTTCATTTTTGAGGAATTTAGCCAAATGAATTGAAGATTGGCAATTGAGGAATTTAGCCAAATGAATTGAAGATGCACAGCTTCACTTATTGATGGTTTAATTCAAAAAGGGTATCACTATTTTTAATATCACAATATACATACATACATACATACATACAGAGTGCAATATAATATTCTCTTCTTTTAGTGGTGTAGGTGATTTAGTAAAATAAAATCATCAGGCAAAAGGTGTCTAATTTATCAGACTTTTATCATACTTGCAAACAAATTTTATATTTTATCCACAATTCCATACACAATTATAGTTTTTGTTGCGATAAATGTGACCAATCTATCTGATATGTTTTGAAAGGTTACCCTTCTAATTTTTCGCTCTGAAAAGCAAGATATCCGACAGTGTAATTATAGTAGGCCGTGATTGCAGCAATTGCTAAAGTAGGTATAAAAAAACCTACCTTATAAAATGTAGGTATAAAAAAACCTACCTTATAAATTGTTGGTATAAAAATGCCTACTTTATTAATTGGCAGCAATGGTTTAAGTATTTTTAACTAATTTAGTGTGGTGCACATTTGGGTCATGTATTTGACGATGGGCCTGCTCCCACTGGAAAGCGTTATTGTATGAACTCTGCTTCACTTAATTTTCAAGGTCTGTTTTTATTGTCGATATTTACATGCTACATGTTATGTTATTATTTATGTTATATTACATATTTAAATGTTATGTATTTAATGTATTTTCTTTATTTCGTCCACGCTTACTGCTGTTCTGCTAGTTGAAGATCAACAACTTATATAAAACTTTAAATTTTTTTCTGTTTTTCCTAATTTTTAAAATATAAAAAAATTTTAAAATAAGAAAACAAAAAAGCATTTTTTGAAAGAATTGCATGAGCTTCTATTTCTTTAATACTTTTTTAATATTTTAAAAGTTGAACTTCTTAGTCTGGGAGAAACTCTTTAGTTTTCATATAATCTCAATTGCACCACTACCAGCAATTACTGCATCGTTCTTAAAACTAATCAAAGTTTGATAGAAAACTAGTGTTGGTAAAATTTTGATAGAAAACTAGTGTTGGTAAAATTTTGATAGAAAACTAGTGTTGGTAAAGTTTTGATAGAAAACTAGTGTTGGTAAAATTTTGATAGAAAACGTTGGTAAAATACACTACTTGATATTATATTTGAATAATATAAAAACAAAATGAAAGGGTCCTTTTTTCTTGAAAACAGATGGTTTGAATAGTACTTATTATATTAATTACTATTAAGCAAGTTTATTATTTACCTTTAGCTATTGGTATTTTTTCTCACTAAAAGTTGCAAAATTCGTTGCTAAAATAGTAATTTTTTTATAATTTTAGAAAATAAAGAACTCTAAGAAGCTTGGCTATGTCTGCTGAAATTTTTGTATAAAAGTATTTTAATTATAAAATAATTTTTTAAAATTATTCTTGTAATAATAAATGTAATAGTGTATGTATTGGTGTAATAACTATATACAGGGGCGGATCTAGCTTTTTTTTTTTTTGAGGGGTGCTGGCAAATATGTGCTGTGCTGCGACGATGAGGGGGTTTTTTCATTACCCCCTCCTTCCACGCGCTTTGTGGGTGTGGGTGGGTGTATGAAAGGGGTTGATCATAAAAAAGGTTTTTATAAAGTACGGGGGAGGGGGTCACCCAAAAGCGTACAAGTTTGTTTAAGAGGTGTTCAAGGCAACGAATACGTACGTAGTTTGACTATATTTTTCATCAATTTTTTTTAAATTTTCAACCTCTTTTTTAACAAATAAAAAGGCTATATCCCTCTGGGTCTTTAACCTGTCTACCCGTCTTAATGATAGAATAATTTCATGAACCCATACAATAAACACATAATTTATTTATTATTCGTATGACATATAACATAAACTGAATTGCATAAGAATTGAACAGTAAAACCCAGTTTTGAAATGTTAAAAGTAAACAAATTTCTTACCCTAACTGTGCTAAATTATAAACTGTTAGCTTATGACCAATCAAATAAATTTCAAATCATGAAACTTTAATAAATTAAAACCATATTTCAACAGTAGGAAAACTAAAATAAAATAGTAGAATAGTTACAAAATGAAGAACTGATAAAAAAAACTTAACAAAATTCTAGTTTCAATGGAACTCAAAATTTGCTTCTAATATGATCTTTAAACAGTAACTCGAAAATATTCTAAGTAACCATCTAGTTTAACTTCTAAAAACACCAATATAATGTGTCATGCACATTATATTGCAATTATAACATAATTGTTTTACAATTCACTATTAAAAATAATAATTAATATATGATATATATGAACAAAAATGACAAAAAAAATGTTTTAAAAAATTTAGTGAAAAAGTTCTGGAACTGAATAAATTCCTCTTTTCGAAATTTTCTTTGGTTCCTCAATAAAATCGACTGTTGCAGGCTAGGGAAAAAAAAGTTGCTCTGCTGGTAGTGACCATTTCCAGTTAAGCCCATTTTTTTTTCATAATAGTAATTGCTTAATTTTTTCAACTGCAGAAAAAAAATTTCGAAAGTTTTTTTAAAAATTTTCAGTAGTTTTATTAAATATTATTAGTTATTAAATTAATTAGTTATAAAGTTTACTAATTGATTAGCTAAATATAAATAACTCAAAATAAATAAACAAACCTGTCCAGGATATAACTCTCCATTGCATTTAACAATTACGTAACAATTCTCTACAAGATTTAATAATTTCTCCTTTTTGCAATCATTTTTTTTTTGCAATCATTTTTTGTTTTATCAATATTTTGAAAGTTCTTTTTGCCTAATGCTGAATGATCTAAAGGTTCTGTATGACTTTCTACAACTAAACTTACATCTGCAAAAATTAGATTAGAAGTCTCAGCAGTTCCAGTATTTGTCATTGGGCCAGCAAAGTCAATGTTGTTGGTCTCAATTGTATTTATAATGCTGATAGGTGTATCTACATTATTTGAATTTAATCTATTACTTTCATTTATAACACAAGATGATATATCTGTTGAACATAAGCTTTTACCTGGGACAGCACATACTTTACGTCGCTTTGGTTTTTTAGAACCATCTGAGGGATCATCCAGTGACTTACATAAATGATCTAAAAATGATTGGCTTACTAAATCAGTAGTTGAGTCTAAACCTACATTACAACATGGTAGTCGTGAAAGCACTTGAGACTTGTCTAATGGAAAAATTCCAGTTTTGCGAAAACCAGCTCTAAGGTTATCATTCCCATGTTCATTTAAGTTGGTAATTAAACGGTCTAAAAGTCTAGGAAATTCATCTTTAGGAAGAGAAGCAACTCTCCTTCCTTTTCTTTTCTCCTTCCATTCACATAATATTTTGCGCCAGTTAATCTTCATAGTTCTAAAGTAGGCAACATCTAATGGCTGCGTGAGATGTGTAGAGTTTGCTGGTAATGCTACAAATCTTATGTTATTTGATTTACATGCATCCAGTACTGCAATGCTCAAATGTGAAGATACGTTATCACCTATAATGACTTCTTCTTCTTTGAGCCTTCTTAAGTCTTGGAAGAAGTAAAGAGAAAAACCAGTCCTCAAATCATGTTGAGTAAAACTAACCACTTTTTGATTTGTTATAACATGGTTTTGGTGGCCCATGTTCCATCCATGTATTCCATAACAACTCAGCTTTGTAAATAACATAAGGTGGTAGCAATTCACCATTAGCATTGCCACAAAACATTACAGAGAATGAGGTCTTTGTAGAATTAATGATGCGTTCAGGATACTTACATCCGCGCTTTGTTAATATTTTTTTTTACCTGGATCATCACTGAGTTTGGTTTCATCATAATTCTATATATTATCAGGTGATATATTACTTATTTCATTTGATAGATTTATAAAGCAGTAATCAATCACAGTCGTTTCTATTTCTGCTCTCTTTCGCTTTATGTTGCTTGCAAATCTTACTGTGAGTTCTGGATTTCTTTTTAAAAAGATCGAATCCAATCGCCACAATCACCTGGAAAATTATTTTTGAACTGAGGTATAACGACGCCTTTTTTCTCTAAATACCCTTTTACTATGCATCTTAAATCATATTTATGAACAGGAAAACCAAACTCAGATGATTTTATTGCATATGCCTTAAACATGTCTTCTTCTTTTGATGTAAATATTTGCTGACCACCATACTTTTTAGGATATGTCTGTTTTATTTTATTTTTTAATGTTGATCTTGGTATATCGTATTTCAAAGCTGCTTATCTTTGAGTAATTAAACCATTTTTTAAATCTTTTAATGCATTGTCTAACTGTATAACTAAAGTATAAGTAACATATTTTCTTCTTCCACGATTTGGCTTGTAATTTTGTGGCATATTTAAACTAAGAACTAAACAAATTTCACTATAATTTTATACTAATTTACTAATACAAACTTTTATACTGATTTTCTATTCCATTACTACTACAAAATTTTTCATTTCAACATAGTAACTATCATAATATCTATAAATGATCACTAAAAAAGGTTTACTCTAATACATGGGGTGACTTTAGCCCGGCTCAATGTCACCCTATGTAGTGGGCTAGAGACAACCTATTTTTTTTTTAACCTCAATTACAAAAAAGTAATGAACTGTTTAGCTTTCAAAACAAGATAGAATCAAACACTAATGGTTTAAAAACAATTCAGTGTATATTCCAATAAAAAATCTTCTAAAGGTACTGCTATCGATGTAAAAGTTTACACACCTAAAAAAATTCGAATTTTAGGTGCTTCTTCTAAAGTGCAATTTACAATAATATTACAAAGACTTATTTTTAGTTAAATAAACTAAGTTAGACTAATTAAATAATAAATTTCCCACAATTTGCTACTAAACATTAACCGGCAACCTTGAGGTATCGATTTTAAACCATTTTTAAACAAAAATTTTGCTTGGGCTAAAGTCATCCCGTAGGGCCAAAGCCACCCAATCTTACGGTAATATACTTTTACACTAAATACATTAATAATAATGAATAGATTTAATAACATTATATAACACTGTTTATAAACAAAATTATGTAACAGTAATAAAATAAAAGTTTCATGATATTCCATTTATTTTCCAAGGATATTCCCCAAAAATATAAATAAAAATGTAATAACAGACTTATTTTTAAACCCAGTTATAATTTAACTTTAATTATAATTACTAATAATGCTAATTTATTAATAATATAAACTTTATAATTATGTCTGATAACTCAAACTTTTACTAAGTCAGCTTTTCAATTCCTATTGAGCTTTCTATACATAACGAGAGCTTCCCCTAACTCTGACATTCGCCAAGTCTGAATATTTATCTATTTCCCTTGAGAATCAGACTTAACAAGATTCTATTGTATATATTTTTTGAAGTATAATTTCATGCTTAAAAAATACAAAAAAAACTTTCTAGAACTTTCAGAACTTTCTAGGACCACTATTTAAATTACTCAATAAAATATATAAAACAGTAAATAATATATTTATATTATATTATTAAATAAAACAGTTTAAATTGGATCAGAATTTAAAATATCTACAAGTTTCATTCTACGACGATTTTTCCTAGCAAGACAATTAATCACTTCATTTACATCAATCCTGATATCTCGGTGAACGTGTATTAAAGCAAGACTATTAAATTTGTGACATTGTGTTATGTAGATAGGTTTTTAAACGACGAATAACAGAGATTGATTTTTCGCAAGTGCATGTTGTTACTGGAATAGTTGCAAGAATTTGAATTAAGGTAAATATATTAGGAAAAGTTATCATATCAATAAGAGGAAGGAGTTTGGTTAGAGTAGTTGAAAGGGAATTTTTAAAACTACACCAATAATCTTCCTACATGTTCAATTCGGTCATGATATAGCGTGGTTCCGGAAGTTCATCCTCATACTCTTTAAAAAAAAACAAGAAAGTTGCTTTTCCATTCAGCAACATTTAAAACATTAGTTGGCATTGCAAAGAATCCATTATAAACAGCAATGTCTCTATTAGAAAAACGTAATTGAATCCGGGATGATAAATGGTCAAGAAAAAGAATTGAAATAACTTTCTTGTAATACTCATTAATAGATTCACAATTATTTCGATTAAGCTGTTTTCTTATTGTACGAGGCTTATGCTCATAAACACCAACACTAGCTGCCAATACAACTGCCTCACTATACCAAGCACCATGACTGTGTTCAATGTCTGATCTTAGTCGCTGTAAAGCAAGATGTAACAAATTTACTTTTTCATGCGATGCAAAAACATCAAAGTTATGACATTGAAATTGTTTTGTAATTGGTTTTGTTACTTCCAAACAGCGAGACACCACTACTAAAGTAACAAGAAACTGGAAAGATCTAGTAGCAAAGAAATAACTATTTGCATCACGCACTGAGTCATGATTCCAAGACTTTTCATCGTTATTAATCATTAGCTCTAAGCATTTAATTATAGCAGGAAGCATTTAATTATAGCAAGAACAATTTTTTAATGGATATACATTAATGCAAAACCATTAAGTCAATATGTTCTTGTATAGCCTTTTAAAAGACGCATAGCAGAAAAACTTCTCTCACATTAAGTATCCTTAAGCTATATTAATGTTTTCAAATCCAGGAAATACTATTGATTTAAGATTTAGGGATATTATTAGGGATGCAAAAATGATGCTTCATAGCAGCTATTTTGAAAAATTTATTTTTAAGAGCTGTAATAAGGTGCAAACCGTCTGAGACATTATTAGTTTTTGATTGCAGTAACCAAGTAACAGGTAAAGTAAAATCAAAGGCACATGTTGCGAAAAATAAAGTAAAGATTAATTGAAAAGTGCTAATGGAATTTTAAAAGTAAATTTATTTTGTGTGTTGGTGTAAAGCATGAAAAATTGATGAACAATGTTCAAGACAAGTGTTTAAACCATCTATACGCTTAATTCATCTAGTTCTACAAACATTTAATGCAGTAGTGGTGTAGTGGCAAAGTGCTTCTTTTTTTAATGCTTTTCATAATTTTTCTGAGTGAAAAAGCTTAAAAGATATTACAAAAATATATACCTCAACTTGTATAGAATATATTATAAAATATATTGTATATTATAGAAAATATTTTGGATATCCGGAAAAATTTTAAGTTGAAAAAAAACCGGAATTCCGGAAGAAGGTATTACTAGAAGCAAACTAGCACTATTACTAGTAGCAAAGCATTCACTTAAGCGGCACAGACATTTTTAGCCGTTTTTTATTTAAGTTTCTTTAGGTTTTAAACTTTCACCTTACAATCTACCAAAACATTATAAGGTGAGTTACCCACTCATCCATTTTTTAACAGTAACGGGAAAAATAATTGTGGGCTATTATAAGTTTTAATTTGACAGTTGTAAAACTACGCATGTTCACGTTATTATTTCCCTCTTTCCTATCCACCTTTATTTGGAAATGTTGCAACTATACCACTAACAGAACATAATAACAAATCCGATTAAGTATCTAAACCATTTTATGTTGTACCCTACCCGAAATATAATTACAAAAATTCTAAAAAATAAGGAATTTTTTTAAGAGAATATAGATGTTTAGATTTGTCTTTGTAAGATTCTCAGTTAAATATCCTTATAATTTATCATAATATTTGTCAAGTGGTGGTACACCTTCAGATAGACCTTTACGTTTTCGGGTTTCAGCAACAATGGCTGCTGCTTTAGTAACAGGATCTAAAGGATCTTCAGCTAGAAGTTGCCAGTGATCAAAAACACATTGAGGGAAAGCTTGACCTTGAGTCTTTGATCTTAAATCAGCAGTAAAACCTGAAAAAAAAATTTATTGAAAATAACTAATTTATTTTAACATAAAAACCCATAAACTTTTTAACAAATCATTGAATTGCTACACACCAGAAATCATAAACATACATAATTATATTCTTATAATAATAAATTCTAAAATAGTAATATAATATTTTTGATATTTAAACATACCAAATGACTCATTGACAGGTAAATATGCCTTGACTTGCACCATAGGAGTCCCAACGACTTGATTTTCTTCAAATATATGACCTCTTCTTTTATTTAAACACGAATAAATACCACCAGTAGCATCTTGAGGACATTGTATTTCTACAAGGTATATAGGCTCTAAAAGACGAGGTTTGGCAGTTAACATACAGGCATACAAACAACGACGAGTAGTAGGCATAATTTGTCCAGCACCACGATGTATGGCATCAGCATGAAGTGTAACATCATGTAAATTAAATCGAACACCACGAACATTTTCATCACACATGACACCTTCTTTTGTGGCCCATTGGAAACCTCCAACAACAGAATCTTTTATTTCATTTAAGTACTGAACACCTTTAGAAACATCAATCATAAGATTGGGTCCGGTGCCTTCAGGTCCAAAACACCATATTTTTCTTGCCTCTGTAGCATCATATTCATATTTTTCAACAAGGTATCTAAGATTGAAAACAACTTTTAACAATATTTCTAAAACTTAAAAATCATCTGAGCAAAACTACAAATAATACCTTGCTCTTATCTTAAAATCTTGACGAGGAGCAACTTCACCACTGTCAATATCTTCTGCAAGTCCATCAGGCATGTTGATGGCTGTCATAAAAAGTCTGTTATGCTTGTTTGGTGACTTAGACAAACATGTCATACTTGAAACCTCAGAAACAGTTTCACGATAAGATACAACAGGATCGGATTTCTTTAATGGAATACCAGCATGATCTTCCTCAAGATCCTGAAATTAATCAAAATTGACATTTAATTTTTAAAGACTTATAGAATTTTATATACTGCTGTAATTAGTTAAAAAAACGCTTTTAAAAGTTAATTAAACAAATCCTATAGATCATCCAGCTTATATTTTAAAAATCTAGAAAATCAGTAGGGTAAAATATCCAGAATATATTTACCCTAATATTTCCCTTAATTTTGATTTTAGCTTAGCTGTATTAATTTTTTTTTTAACTTTTCTTAATTTTTTAATGAGTAATGAGTGAAAAAGCTTAAAAAGAAAATATATTACAAAAATAAATTCCTAAACTTGTATGTATAGCAAACATTTTTGATATCCGGAAAAACTAAAAATTGAGAAATATCCGGGAAAAGATAATCCCTGAAATCCTTATAAAAGGGGGTTTAAACAATCTTATAATTTTAATATTGAAAATGCATTTCACAAATACCTTTAAGCAGATTTCAAGGTGAAGCTCTCCAGCACCAGCAACAATATGTTCACCTGATTCCTCAGTTATACACAAGACCATAGGATCTGACTTAGCTAATCGTTTTAAACCTTCAACAAGTTTAGGTAAATGTTGAGGATCTTTTGGTTCAACAGCAACACGAACAACTGGAGATACAGAAAATTTCATTTGCTTCATATTGTGAGCTTCTTCAAAAGTAGTCAGAGTACCTGTTTTAACTAAGTATTGATCAACACCAACTAAACCACAGATGTTACCACTTGGCACATCTTCAATAGGTTCTGTATAACGACCCATCATTAGAATTGTTCTAAAGAGTAATTAATCTATTTCTAATACTTTAACTTTAATAAATAACAGACTTTTTTTAATGCAAAGTTTAAAAAGTTTAAAGTTAATACATAAGTTTAAACTAAAACAAAATAAAAAGGCATTTATTTTATAGGTTAATAAAAATCAATTTTATTATTTACATACTTTTAAAACCATATATCATTTTCAATCGAAAAATGTTAACTTAACAGATAGGGAATTACTCTTACAGGTTTTGAATAGACATTTATATACATATCATAATCATATTTATACATTAAAATTTCAATGAAGATTGATCCTGAAAAAAACTTAACAATACAAATAACTCAATCAAAACTATATTATTCAAAAGAAAAAAACTGTTGCTTAAATACATAATAGTTAAAAATAAAATTTTAAAAATTTAAAATTAAACTATTATTTTAACTACTAACTAAACGACTTTTAAAATAATATAATATAATAAAATGAAAAATAATAAAAAATTGCAACAAATATTTTTTGCAAAATAAACTCACAGAATTTTAGAATTTACAGCAGTGACATCCTAAACTTTTTTATTTATATAAGTAACCAATTTTATACTGAAATATACTTATTAATTCTAATTATCTAAGAATATGGTGTCTAAGAAAATCTCTGAGTGCTTTTGCAAAGAAATTAGGAAAAACAAGAAATTACTTTTTAATAACACTAAAAGAAAAAATAATAAATACCTTTGGATTGTCTTATTATATAAATCTTCTTTTTTTCCAGGAACATAATTAGGTCCCATTATTCTAACTTTCTGTCCAGTAGCACATTTACCAGAAAAAACACGACCAAAAGCATAAAATCGACCTTTATCTGAAGATGGTACCATTTTAGAAACATACATCATTAAAGGACCATTGGGATCGCAGTTTTTGATTCCAAGGAAAGCTTCATCATCATGAGGACCTTCATATAGTAGTTCAGCTCTATATTTTTGAGCAACAACTGGTGAAGGCAAATGTATAGTAATTAATTGAAGCATAGTGTCACCAGCTGGAAGCCATTTTTGCATAATTCGCTTAATTAGTGGTTTTCCCTCTAGCTCTCTTTCTTCAAGAGTCAATTTAATTTCAAGTTTCTCAATTAATTTTTCATACTGATCTTTTTTAAAGTTCATAACAGAGTCAAACATCTAACATACAAATATTTTATAATTAAAAAAAAATGTTAGTATTAAGTGTTATAATAAAAATAGGTAAATAAAATGAAAATTTTACTTTGAAAATTGGATCTAACACAAACATATTGAAACCACGAGTATATCCTTCACCACCAGTTTTGTTCCATTTCTTATCCTTTGCTGCAGGATTAAAATACTGATCTCCCCACAAGCGTTTCATTAGTTTAATAGGAGGAATTTTAAATTTTGAGGCATATATTTCAGAAAACTGTTTCAAAGAGAATGCCCATCCATGAAGACCAGATCCAAAGCCAACAGTTCCAATGCAAGGATCAACCTACATAAACAACAAACTTTAGTTTCAAATTTAATATATATCTATTTCAGGAAAATAAACAACACTTACCATAATATTTCCCATTGGACCATCTTCTGTTGAATAAGTAGCAATGATGACATTAATACTTTCAATAATTCTCTGAAAAGTTTGATAAAGATCTTCTTGTTCTAACTGCAACTCAAGTAAAGCGCGGTCCATTTTGTTCATAAACAAGACTGGTTTAATTCTTTCAGCAATTGCCTGACGCAACACAGTTTCAGTTTGTACACAAACACCTATAATAAAAGCAAACCTAAGCTAGGTAATAAATAATAGAAACTTAAAAAAAAGGTTAAATTGTAAGACATTTTCACAACTCAGTAAATAATTAATGATGTACCGCTAATACAATCAACTACAACCAAAGCACCATCTGTTACACGAAGAGCTGCAGTAACTTCAGACGAAAAATCAACGTGTCCAGGAGAGTCAATTAAGTTAATTAAGAATGCTTTGCCATCAATATTTTTGTCAACCAAAAAAGCCATATCAGCATCAGTTAATTCATAATACATAGACACAGCTCTAAAAAAAATTATAAGTCATAAAACACATGACATAAACTGAATTATAAAAAACTTTATAGTCAAAGATTTGATATTCTCCTCACGTTGATTTAATTGTAATACATCTTTCTTGTTCATCTTTGCGAGTATCTGTAAATCTCATTTCACCAGCTTTGGCTTGAGCAATAATACCAGCTTTTGTTACCAAGGAATCTGTTAGTGTGGATTTACCATGGTCAACATGTGCAATAACAGACATGTTTCTGATATTGTGTTTTTTGTCCATGATCTCACGGATCTAATTTTAAAAAAGTTAATTAACACTTGTTTTATAATTATATTTTTTTTCAAAGATTAACATATACAAAAAATGGCATATTAAAGTAGCAAGTTTAACAAGATCAAAAAAATAAAAACGAAAACCACACGAACATACCTGGTCTATTGTGAAGTTCACCTAAAAAACATAAACATAATGTAGATACAAACAAATTAGTTAAACCATAATTTTGCAACAAATCAATGCAGTTTTATAATAAACACATAATAATTTATAATATTATTAGTTTCATTTAAATTAGTTTTATTTAAATTAATTAATACAATTATTAATTAATTTAAATAAAACGCAAATAGACAAGTGAGATTTTTAAAGATTAAAAAATGATGGTTAAACTACATACCATTTTTTATGTAATATGGTAGGAATATCAGTTTGAAATTCACGAACTTCGCAATTAGGTTCTTGTAGAACCTTCACCTAGAAAAGAGTAGAATCGGCCGCTAGAAGTTTACGTCAGCTAATTTTTATTGTCGACGGCCTTACAAAAAATAAAAAACTCGATATACTGCTTTTTAATGATAACATTAAATTTACAACTTATCCACAATGTGAAGGAAATTATATATTTTGGTTATTAACCAAATAAAAGTTAATTAGTTATTGTTTAAATTACACATCCTAACATCTAATGCAATATCCGTCCGCTTTCTCTATGGTATCTTTCTAACTCGACTTAACGCATTAACTTAATACGTTCTTCCTAAAACTCACTTACTCTCGGTCCATCGAAGCAGGTTATGATGCTCTTTAGAGAGCTGAACGTGTCATCGTGGATCTTGGTATGTAGCATTTGTATTGCAATTAGCCGGAGGAGAATGAACCACAACAACTATACTTCGGTTATATATTTTGAAAAAAATATTTTTAGTTTCTGTGTATAAAAAGTTGAGCAGACTAAATATTTACTTTTTTAAAGCCGAGTTTATGCAGAAATACACAACCGAAATATTACGGTGTGAAAATGCGTGGGTCAGGTAACGCATT